TCTCCTGTAGGTAGGGTTCTTATACACAGCCTTGTTGAATTTTGTTTTTACCTGTTTAATAGAAGTGGAATTGAACTCCTGATATGAGCTGTGAAAACTAGGATGTGTGGTATGTATGGCCCCTGCCAGCCACTTTATTTTGTTTTCTGTTTAACATGATTTTTCCCTCTCCAATTTATTTAAAGTGATCAAGTTCTAATTGCTCATCTTCTTCTTCCTTTTAGTTGTTTGTAAATTTACCATATATCATATTTTAATGATATTCATGGTTATATTTAGTATTTTAAACCATATTTTAACTTCTTTTTGCCATCAATCAATCCTCTTGCTAAGAGTGAAGAGAACTCTAGTATACCATTATTCCTTCTCACATTTGTCCACACTGGGATTTTGGTTCTGGTTTATTACTAAAATTGATTTTTCATATTGTGTGACAACAATTATTTTTACACAGTGATAGATTCTATAGCTAGAATTTTTTAGTCACCACTTTTTTTTCTTATTCTATATCTTCTTTCTTCAAGCAGTCCTTTTACAAAGGGTTTGGAGGTCGAAAGCTGATAGAATCTTTGTTTGTCTGGAAAAAGTCTACACGGTAGCCTCAAAATTTTAAAGGTCATGTCCGTTGCCTTGTGGACACCAGAAAGGATGAGAAGATTGATGAGAAACTGTAATCTACCCCCTACTGTTCCTTCTCAGATAAGATGTTTTTTTTCTCTGCTTTGGGAGCTACCAGGGCATTTTTCTCCAGGACATGATCTCTCTAGTCTGTCATTTTTCTAGGCCTTGGGTGGACCCTTTTGATTTGAATAATTATGCCTTTCTTTTGCTTGGAAAAATGCTCATCTATAATTTATTTCTTTTAATCATTTCTTCATTCTTTTCTTCCAGATCTTCTAATAGATGAATTAATCCTTTTAACTTTTTCTTTCCTATTTTCCTTCTCCTTGTCTTTTTTTTTTTTTTTTGGTACTGGGGATAGAATTCTGGACCTTGCGCTTGCGAGGCAGGCAGTGGAACCACTGAGCTAAATTCCCGGCCCTTCTCCTTGTCTTTTCATTTTCTGAATCCAGTTCATTCAATTGACCTTCTCTTCCAGAACACCAAATCAGTATTTAGGTATGTCCACTTGACTGTCTATTTACTGGATTTCTTCTGATGTCATTTTTAAAACTCCAAGAATAGTTTAAAAATTTTTTCTAGTTACTCCTTTGAATAGCAAGAAGTATGTTCTTTCTCTATGGATATAATATACTCTTGAATCAGGTATTACTTTTAATCTTTAGAGAAACTTATTGTCTTTTTAAAGTTATCTGCTCATCTGCAGACCAGAGCCGGCCAGCAACAGGATTTACTCAATGTCATTTTCCGAAGCAACACCTCAAGAAACACTTTCAGAAACAGCTTCTCAATTCCAAGATACTGATACTTTTAGCAGCCAGAAAATAATTTCTCAAATCATTTTAAAGTAGCTAAAGCACTTGTGGCGTGTTGACAGAAGGTCCAAGAAGATGGCCATGGATATTTATGAATTTTGTACTAGCAGACTAGTGATCCTCAAACCAGCATATTGGCCTCCTTTGGGGATTTGAGAGAAATATAAATATCATAATATCACAAAGAAGTAAATTCCATAAAACTTTGTGCTAACACCCAAGAAAATGAGATACGATGGATTACAACTGAAACTGCAACAATGAGGACAAAAAGCATTTTCAGATCTCCAAGCAGATTTGTACACACATATGATCAACCATATAATGATCCCATCGAAAAAAAAAAAAATCTAAGCAAAAAAAAAAAAATTATCTGATCTCTTTGTGTATGGCCAGTGAGTCTTTGTATTCCTCTTGAACCTTCTCTTTCAAATTGCAGCTCTACCTCAAAAGTCTGGTAATCCTAAACTATTCAATTACATTTGTAACAAAGGACTAGGCTTAACACACACAGCAAGGTCTACTACCTATTAGCTATAAGATTTTAGGTAAATTTATTAATCTTCTTGTGCCTCAGTTAACTCACCTTCTGAATAGAATAATAATAATATAGGCAGGATTATTGTAAATTTAGTAAACTGACACATGTGGATTGCAAGTATTTATTAGCACAGTGGCTAACATACTGCAAGTACTTGATAAGATTACTGACAAGTTTTACTGTGGCATCCAATCTCCTTTTCTTGTGCAGAGGGTCCCCATGTCCCACTAAAAGTCCTTCCCTGGCAAGTTGCTCCTTTTCTTTACAGTGCTATTCTTAGGCCTCAAACTAAATGGGTATATTCCCTGCTACGAGAGGTAAGGCTGGGGAACTGGAGGGTAGAAGTAGTTCTTTAATTCTCTCATGACTATCTTGAAATCTCTAACTTTTCTTTTCACTCACTCCATGCTTGATATTCTGCACATTTGTTCTTAACAGTATAGTAGTTTTCTCCCATGAGTGGTAGGCCCTGCAATTTTTATTTTCTGTTAATGCTTATCTGCTCCCATTTGCTTTCTAACTATCAATAATCTCAAATTCTGGTCAGCTAATGGCATTCTTTCTTGTTATATTTTTTATTGCTCATTCTCTTTTACAGAATGAATTTCTGTCTAGTGTATTTTTGGACAAATGGAAGTGTGGTTGCAAATGTTCAGTTCTCTGACTTCAGCTGTATTATTTTTTCATACCATTTAATGCATTCATATCTGCCAATCACAAGGATAGGATCTGCTTATGTACTGTATTGATTTTTGGAGAGATAAATTTATATATATTATATATGTCTTCAACCGCATAAATTTAATCAAGAACTAAATTTGATGAGCATTTGTAATGTGAAACTAAAAGACATTAATGCTTATCAGGTATTCATAAAACTACATAACTATAGATAATAGTTCTCTCTCTTTCTGAAAAACCGTAATAATCTAGATAAAATAGAACCACTTTATAGTTATTTCTTTCTTCTAATAAGTAGAAGAGTACCTAAAAGGCTTCCAGTCCATGTTCTAAGCATTTCTGAAGGCTTGTTATCAAATATGCTCTTATTACCCATAATTTTATATATTGATTTCTATAATGTATTTAAAAAAAATTCAGTATCAGCCATTCTTGCCTTTTTCTTTTTATTGAACCAGCCAGACTAATATAGCACATCACTAAGCAAAAAGTACTACTTACTATGCAAAAGGCACAGTCAGTGATTGGCACCTAAGACCAATTGATCTACCCATTACCAACATCTCCCTCCCCCGACCAGCACTACTATGAAGCTATTGATTTAAACACTGTCGATCGGTTTCCATTTTCTGATTTTGGGCAGGCCAATTAAGAAAGTGAGTAATTGTGATTACACTGCTTCAGGATCAATTACATTTGATGCAAGACAAAGTGCTCTTTTTGGAACACACACAAAAATGTTTTTCAATCTAGCATGCTTTGTGCTTAATAAAACCAAACATAAATAATTTATGCTTTCACAGTAGAAAAATATTAATATGTTATAATAGCTAAGGCTATTTTAATGTGAATTAAATGTATCATTTTCCTAAAGAGAAACTGAGAAAAAAAATTGTTCATACACATTCCTCAACCTAAGATGAAAATCTAACATTACCTGTATTTTTATCCCTCAAGAGACTTTGTCAATTATGGAAGACAAAATGCAAATCCTGTTCAATGAACCACAAAAGAAGTCTTTGTAGTAAAAATACTGAAAAATAACAACCCACCTGATTATATAGAAATCAAGAAGTTCCTTGTATAAACTGGTAAGATAAAAACTTTTAATTTTTAATTTTGATCTCACTTGGTACATGAGCTTTGTCATTGGGCTCACACTGTCCAAATCATTAAAATGAATATACCTCTGGTGCTGGAGGCAAATCTATTTAGAGTGATGCTACTCATGGTGTGGTGTTCAGTACTACTGGATCTGTATTGTTTGTCTAATAGAAAAAAAATAAACAATGCCTAGGCCATGATGGGAAAAGTAATCAGTTTTTATATATCACTAATATAGCAGACCTCCCAAAACATAAAGGTGATGATCTGCATAAAATCAATGTGTTATGCTACACTGCATAGATCCACTGCTGCAGGTTCTCAGCAATAAAAGGTTTAATATCAGGCCTCAATTACCAGCAAACTGAAAGGGAGTTTGAAAATGAAGGGTTCACTATATTTAATCTATAAATTTATTTTAACAGGTCTTACTCCTAAGCTTGAAGATTTTTAATCATAACAAATTATGACCATAGCTTGCTAAAATTCAGATAAATAAAACATCTCAATTCTTTTAAGAGTAAAAACAAAGCAACTTCAATTCAAAATAATAAACTATCCTATATCAGAAAAACATAAACGAATGGAATTCAAATACAATTCTCAAAGATGCACGAAAATAACAGCTTTGCCACTTTGCTAATAGTCTCTAGAATTCATCAGAAATGTATAAAATATTGTATGAAAACAAAAAGAAGGGATTCCTAAAAAAACCCTTATGAATAGTATTCAGTCATAAAACCTTTGCCAACTACATAAATGCTCTTTTGATTTTTATAAAAACCAGTTTGTAAATCAACATAAAAAAGAGAAAACATATGGGCTTAGAATTAATAATGCTCTATGATAAGAAGCTTAAGATATCTCAAAATGACACACTGTATCAAGAGGTATCTTCTTTCGGATAGTCAATGATATAAAATTTTTAATTCCTCCCAAATTTTCCAAAACTATAATAGTAAAATAAGTAAAAAATCAGCTAGCAGTAGCTTATTTTTTAAAACAACAAACCATGAATTTCAATTAGTATGGCAGACTGTAATCACTAGGTAAGAAGTACTGAAAATACCCATATTGCACACAGTTTGTACAACTATTCTATGGCATTCTAAACACTGTTGAAAGAAAACACATTAGTTTAAATGTTGTGCCTCACAGAAAAAGGCTGTTGAAAGCTTAGTTTTTGTTCTGCTATACTTTACAGGTAATATAAAAAACAGAAGAACAACTGAACTTACCACAACTGGAAACTGGCAGTCTGTGTAGAATCACAGAAGTCAATACCCATTGAAACAGTAATGGATCCCTTAGGCTCAAGAGAGTCTAGGAAATAAGATAATTTAGACATGAAAACATACAGGATGTGAAAAAGAGGCAAACTAAGTACTGAACATTTATTTAATGTTTGTATTTGGTTAAAACAGCCCAATGTAATGATGGCTTATAAGAAAAATTCAAACTAAGACTATTAAAGGAAATTATAACCTCATTGTTCAGCCTGAAGATTTTCATTTTTCACAACTAAATTCTGCACATACTCCAATGAAGACATTACATCCACTGTTTCAGAAATACACCTCTTCCTGAGAAATTTCATGTTTTAAAACATTATCTTTACAGGCATTGAAAGTGAGAAGGAAATAAATATGTCCTTGTTTGGCACACTTGCAATGGGCTTTTGGAGCTTATACAAGATTATTTACTCAAAATTATTTATTCTAGATAGGAAAAGTAAAATTTTAAACAATGATCCAAATTTTCAATTGAAAAATTCTAAAGTTTAAAAGTGCAAATTAAAACAAAATTAGAAGAAATTAAAATGTATTCAGGAATTAACTAAGATAACTGGAATTCCTAAAATAATTGCATCATTAAAAACTTTACCCTAAGAAAATTTAGGGTCAGGTTCGATTGTCTCAACAAAGTACTAAAATAGCATTGTATAGATTTGGGATTTTTGAAGCTTCACCTATCAACTAATCAAGTATGACAGTTGACAGTTTTCAGTGGACAATAATAACACAACAAAATTTTATTCTGTTTATGACTCCAAAGTTTGGCTACACATTAGAATACTTGGGAGCATTTAAATAATACATGTATATAAACAGAAACCATTCACTTTTGATTTCTATCCACTATGTTCCAAGTCTTCACTATAACTGCAGCCATACCACACAATAGCTTTATATTTAGCTTTATCTATTCTGTATATATCTTGTCAGATTTAGTTATATTTTAGCAAGCACACTTCTAATTCAGTAGACTGTCACTATCCTTGGGCTTTTGGTAACTATCACTTACTAAACATGAACAGAGATGATGTACAGATGGGACAAAAATACAACTCAAAAATCTGATATAGTAGGAGCTATGTTTGTATCTCATAGGCTGCATGCAGATTAGGCATCAGAAGAGGGACTATTTGATGCTGATTTTGAAATGCTATTGGTTTGCTCAGTGTTATTTATGTTGCTTTGCTGATTCTATTTTTAGTTTGTTTATAAATGTAACATTTACTGGTTTGCTACTCAAGTATCATAATCCTTGGCTGTCTAAATCTTTGTCAAATAGGCTTTTCTGTAGGGCAAATAACTAGACTTATTCATATATACAAGCTACATGTTGTCATCAGTTCATCGCTCTGTCAATCTCATTGTTCATCAGGTGTTTTTTGTTTTGTTTTGTTTTTGCCATGCTGGGGATGAACCCCAGGGCCTCACATGTGCTAAGCAAGTGCTCCACCTCTGAGATATATCCTCAGTTCTAAGGCTATTTTTATTTTATTTTATTTTTTTTGGTACCGGGGATCAAACTCGGGTCCTTGCACTTGCGCAGCAGGCAGCGAAACCATCTATTTTTATTTTTAATTGAACCTAGGTCCTTGCACTATGCTATGTCCTTTTATTTATTTTAAAATTTCAAAACAGGGCTTTGGTAAGTTGCCCAGGCAGGCACTGAACTTGTGATCTTCCTGCCTCAGCCTTGGAACTAGCTGGGATTACAGACATGCACCAAGTATGCCTGGTCCTAATGTTATTTTTTACTGAATCCTTAACACCTTGTTCTGTGTCATAAACATACTGGAGTTTGATCTTATTTGTATCTGACACCATTTTGGTAGCAAACATCATCATCCTAAAACATAATAGCATTAGTGATTTTGATCTCTCTATATCATGTTATTTCAGTGACAAAGTGACAGCTCTCAAGATGCCCTGTTGATAGCACTCTCAGACATGGTTTGATACTGTCTTCAGTGTTCAGATAATTAACTGTGAGCTAATTCTGGAGGACAGTTCATGATCAATGGTTTGTTTTATTACATGAACGTTTCAAGAGCAAAATGATCAGCATAAAATTATTCATAGAATGGATTTTTATAATATTTGGAGCCTACTAAACTGGGAAAGCTTACCAAATTAGAAGATTGTATTTGGATATTATTTTGGATTTGCTGCTATGTACCTGAAATGACTAATAGAAATGGCTGAAAAACATTGGCTTTATTACACCATACTATTGATAATAAAACCACACAGGATGTCATCAACTTTGATGTGACAGCTGTACTTGTACAGTAAACTAGTAAAATCTCAGTTGAACTCAAAAGTGTCAAGTGTTAACATAAAGTCACTGAAATACATGGTCTGTTTGGAAAAAAATGGCCCATTATTCCTAACACCCTTGCAATGAGGCAGGGCAACATTCAGACAAAAGTAATTGTGTATTACAGACAAAAAGGAAACAGATTGGTGACAAGAAAACCACCAGACCTCTTAACATATGAATATAGGCTTAATGAATCATGCCTCCCGTATTTCATAAAAACATGAACAATATTTGGGGTTTTTTTTTGGTTGCATTCTTAAGATATTTTTGGAAGACTAATTTAGACGTAGGATTTTCTGCAACCCTTGTGTAATCTATTGGTAATAGTCAAGATAGTGTTACATACAAATACTGCATGCAATAAACTTCCAAAGAAATTTAATAACTGGGAGCAAAATGGATGGAACGTCACATTCATAAAAATGTGCTTAAAAATGGAAAAGAAAAGCCTATAACTAGTACTGAGGCAATGGTATATGTTCACATTTTATTTATTTATTTTTGGTACTGGGGATCGAACTTGGGACCTTGAGCTTGAGAGTCAGGCACTGGAACCACTGAGCTAAATCCCCGGGGACATTTTATTTTTGTTAAGGTCATACTATGAAATTTATTGTATTTATTTCTTCTATTCTACATAGGCCAACAAAAGGTCAACTCATCAACTTATAATACCAGTCCAAGGAAACACTAATACTATTCTACTGTTTTAACCTTTGGATAACATTTCCAACCTTATATAATTCATAAATCATCTGCTTGAAACTTCTTAAACTAAACTAATTTTTTTAACTAGGTAAAAAAGGCTAAATTACAAGCAATAAAAAAGATCCACAGAATTGGGATATTCTGTAATTCCCTGGCAGTATATAAACTTCACACAATAATTCAATAAAATCAGGATACTTTACTCTTTAAATTGTTTTATTTATAAAAATATTTTTAAAATGGCATTAAGTGTACTTTGAAATTAACTTATTTTAACTCTACTTTGGTTGCTTATAAAAGTCAACCATGTTTATCCACCAGGAGTTGTTTTATCCCTTTGTGGAAAATGTAACAAAGAATGACTTCCTTTACTAAAGGACTCATGGAACTACAGAAAAGAATTTAGCAATGCCAGAACTCAGATGAAGAAAAATGGAAGTTATGTGAAACAATGAATAAAGAGGGCACAATTATCAAATTTGAGTTCATCCTGGTTAAAGGACCTTGCTCATCTAAAGTATTATAGAAAGGACAATAACGTTTTGAAGGTGCAATGTCACAAGCTTCTATCACTTTTTTTTTTTTCTTGGTACCGGGAAACTAACTCAGGTCCCTGCGCTTGCCTAGCAGGCGGCGAAACCACTGAGCTAAATCCCCGGCCCTTCTATCACTTTTAATTGAAGTTTTCCTTGACACTTCTCCCAACTACACCTTAGAACTGTTTCTACTTTAAAAAAACAGAACAAGCAGATGATATTCTAAATATTCCGTTATTTCAGGCTCAATGTATAAAATACAATTGGGTATATTTATTTCTTAAAGAGTATTTTTATGGCAAAATATTAAAAACTACCAGGTAATGATGAATAGCTAATGGTGCTCAGCTAGGCACTGGGGCAACCTGCATGGAGGCAGCCATTCTCAGCACCAGCTGGCCGTGGAGAGTACGCACAGTGCACCAGTACTGCCAGATCTGACGCCTTCTTTCAAAGTGAGAGTCCTCTTTTTTGCTTTATAATGTAAAAATCATCCTGACTTCTAAATGGTGGTAAAAATCATTATGGATAAATACAATAATAGACTACAGGTTATGGAAAGAAAGATAAGCAGAATACTACACATCTCCTCAGTCTCTACACCCTTCTTTTCAATTTATGGAACATGAAAGGAAACAGAAAAGGGCCTCTAGATATGGGAAATATTGTATTTAAACAGAAAGACAGATTTTCTTCCCTTTACTGCACAATAAGGCAACTAAAATTATGCAGGGAATGAATCTGACCAAGGGGAAAGGTGTGGGAAGGTGATGCAGATAAGAAAAACAGGATGATGGTTTTGATTCTGCAGATCTCACCTTCTCTTCACTACTAGTATAGCTACTGCTGGGCCCTGATTCACTAAGGGCAAAGAAACATAGTTCTTTTGTATGATAAATGCAGTATTTGGAGGTTTTTTTGTTTGCTTTTTTTTTTTGTACCAAGGATCGAACTCCAGACCTTGTGCTTGAGAGGCAATAAATGCAGTTTAAAAAGAGAAAACAAGGCTGGGGATCTAGGTCAGTGGTAGAGCGCTTGGGCAATATACATGAGGCCCTGGTTTTGATGCCTGGTCCTGCTAAAAAAACAAAACAAATACAAACTGAGTATGCTAACAATCAATAAAATAATGTTCTATTTTACTTTTTAACTAAAAAGTATCTACTTAATTTTAAAATGAAAAGTTATCAAATATAAACTTTTAAATGAGAATTAATATTTACCTATTGGATTAAAAATATGCATTTGCATGCCTATAGGAAGTTTTTTTCCCCCTATGTGGATATTTTCTATCTTCTGGTCAGAAGTATTTTCCAATGTTATCTGCACAGAGACCATCTTATCACCAAAAATGCAAGGCTGTCTTGGAAAGAAATAATGGGCAGCCAGTCCTTTTCCACTCATCCGATGAAGCAGCACATGTGTTTTCACTGGTACAAAGACAGGAGTACTGACCTATTGTGTATGGGGAAAAAGACATTAAAGAATTAGTGGACATAGAAAATAAGCCCTTTTAACATTCAGTAACAAACTTTAGTATGATACCACACACAGAGATATGTAAAGAAAATGCCTTCAAAATGGAATTAAAATTTTTCTGTACTCTGCAGGCATACGGTAAAATACTTTGAAAATATAAAAAATCCTCAGTTATATATTCTTGAGCCCCTAAGCTCTTTTGTTAATATTTTCCCCAGATACTCTATATATGGCCATCCTGCTAACTTTGTCATTCATGTCAGTTGGTTTTCTTGGATGTTTCAACTACAAGACAACATCACCTCCCAATAATGAACATTGTGTGCCTTGGTTTCCAATACTGGACAGGTTTTCACCTTGAATTTCTTTCACTGTAAAATGACCATCACTTCCAGTGTAAGGTGCATTCTTTCTTTGCTTTAACAATAAGATCTTATTATGAGATTACATAAATATTTCTCTTACATGCTGAGTGTCTAGACCTTTAATGGTTTCAATTTTTTAATTCATGTAAAATTAATTTAGGAATATCAACTCTGCATTTAATTATTTTTCTGCAAATTCTTAACCAACTGCCCAATGTAATATTATGAATAGCTTTTCTTCAATGATTTACAAATGCAAACATTTTATTTAGGCCCTATGATACATTTCTGAGCCTTCATTGTTGTATTAAACCTATTTCATATTGTTTATTTCTTATAGCTTTACAATGGATTCAATTATTTGGTAAAACAAATCTTATCATCTCCCTATCCCCTCAATATTTTTTTCAATAATGATCTCTTTATTATCAATTCTCAGCCTTTTGGCTAAGATCAAGTGTAATAATGATCTCTTTATGCTTCCCCTGAATGTTATCCTTTTAAAATCTTCCCTCAATCTAATTTCGACTGGAATCATAGGCAGCATATTAAATGAAATGCTGTCCACTGTAAAAGCATATGGCCGCTATCTTTTCATTCAAATAAGTTTTACATATAGGCTTGCTGCTTAACAGCTGATGATGTTAAAAACTTAGTAATAATAATAATTTTAAAATTCAATAAAAACTCAAGTTAAATTATGTCTTACAAGCATCATTAAAACATTATTTTAAAAAGCTCAATTTATAAGTGTGAGCACTTTAAAATATTCATTATAAAATTTGTAAGACTTTATCTGCAAAATGTAATAAATAACTGCCGGAAATTTAAACTTTGGTTATATAAAATAATGGGCAATTAATCAATTTATCCTACTTTAACTTTCTGATGATAACAGTTTAACATGTGTGTGTGCACATGCATGCTGGAGGTCAAACTCTGGGCCACATACATGTTAGGCAAATGCTCTACCACTGAGCCACAGCCAACAGTCTAACATTGTAAGTTCTCAAAGCACTTCCACTTCTAATTTCAGTTCCTTCTCCTTAAATAAAAATCATTTTCATCACTATAAATTCACAGGTATTGCTTAGCATAACTCTAAAGAGCAATCCTTAGCAGTGAACATTCACTCAAAGATATATGGGGCATCAAGACAGATACAGAATAAGTGTCTGTGTATGTGTATGTATATATTGAGAGGTTATGTTTATAGATTTATACTCGTGCCCCTGCCCACATCACCATGTCATGGAAGCTGTAAAAATCAACCTTAAATACAAGCCCTTAGCTGGCTAATTACATTTTTCCAGCATTTTATGTTGATTCTCTTAATTAGATGATAAGCACATTGAAGACCTTGGCCAGGTCTTACTTTTTTTTTCTACACTGGTCCTGAGATGAAGTTGTCATTAAATCATTAAATAGATGCTGATACAGAGTTTTATCTCTGTGGAACCTGTAAAAGGCTGGGCTACAAAGCTAAAACTGTAATGTAAAAGCAAAGGTGATTGAAGGTTGGAGAGAAGTAAGTATGGAGTAGTGCTATAGTTTGGACCTTAAGAGTCCCAGAAGGCCTGAGTGTTAACTACTGGAAGGTGGTAGAAATCTTTCAGAGGGTGATTTAAGGTCACTGGGCATATGCCCTTGAAGAACTTATGGGACAATGGTCTCCTCCTCTTGTTCTTTTCAGTTCCTGGCAGCTTATTCTACCAGCCACTCCCTGCTTATTCTACCAGCCACTCCCTGCCATGAAAAAATGCCTCACTGCCGACCCAAAAGGAATGAGTTCACCCAACCATGGATGGAAGCTTCCAAAGCTATAAGCCAAAATAAATCTTTCCTCTCCTTCAATTGACTTGTCTCAGGTATTTGTTATATTAACAGAAAGCTGACTAACACAAGTAGTATAAGCAAAGTAGAAAAAAGCAGGGGTGTGGTTTACAACACCAGGCATTACCACTCTAAAAATCATCTAAGGTGCTTCAAAAGTACATTGGTAGTCACACAGCTTAGCTGATTTACTGATTCTCTTTGTCTCATCCTGGACACATGGTCCAAACATTTATTTTTGTTTTACACTTAAGTCTCAAAATACTGCAGCTTTGGCCAACCCCAGTGCCAAGGAGGAGGTGAGCCTTCCGGGCCACCGTACCACCACCCCCAGTGCCGAGGAGCAGAGCCATCCCCAGTGCTGAGAAGGAGCCTTTCAGGCCGCAGTACCACTGCCCCCAGTGCCAAGGAGGTGAGCCACGTGGGTGCCAGCAGCACCGCCCCCCCCTTTGAAATGAGAAGACACGTAAACAGTCTCAAAACCAAACTTCCAGATCACCTAAAGCAACTCCAAAGGCAAACGAGATGGAACAATCTCATACTCAACCACCTGGACTCCCTGAACTGGAAATGAAAGAGGATGTGGAAAAAATGAAATCAGAAATAATTTCTCACATATCAGCAGAGATTGTGCCCATAGCGCAAGACATGATTAATAAATCTAGAGAGGAGCTGAGGAACATGATGGAATCCCAACATAGGAAACAAATGGAACCCATAAAACATATGCAAACAGATTTCCAGGAGATTAAGAACTCCACTGAAAGTTTACACAGCAGAATGAGCCAATGTGGGAACAGAATTTCAGATAAGAAGATCAGATTGTACTTAGTGACCAAGAAAGACAAATTGCTTTAAAATACTAAGGGACCATAAGAAATCAATCCAGCAGCTACTAGACGATGCAAAGAAGAATAATATAGGACTGATCAGAGTCGATGAAGGAACAGGAGAGAGTGCAGACGACATAAAAAATACTGTTCACAGAAGTGATGGCAGAAAACTTCCCAAGCAGGGGAAAAGAACTTGACATACAGATAAGTGAGGCCTATAGAACTCCAACTAGCCTTGATCAAAAAAAATCTACACGTAGGCATATAATAGTCAACATTCCAGAAACCCAACAGAAGAACAAAATTCTACAAGCAGTTTGAGAAAAGAAACAAATCTCATACAAAGGAAAGCCTATCAGAATCACAGCAGACTTCTCAATGGAAATGGAAACCCTCAAGGCTCAAGAAGAGCTTACAGTGATGTATTTCAAGCCCTAAAGGAAAACAGCCTCCAACCCAGATTGATGTACCCTGCAAAACTATCTTTCAAAATTGATGGAGAATAAGATACTTTCATGACAAAGAGCACCTGAGAAACTTCATGAATACCACAAACCAGCACTCCAAAAAATTTTAGACAATATCCTAGGAAAAGACAATGAGGATCACAACCTCAGGAAGCCCAACAGAATGAATCCATCCAGCACAACAAGAAATTAAACGCAAATGGGGAGAATCCAACAAAAAGAAAAAGTCATGACATTGATGAGTCAATACCTATCAGCTATAACCATCAATGTTAACAGTCTCAATTCACCAATCAAAAGAAATAGACTGGCAGAATGGGTCAAGAAGCAAGATCTAACAATATGCTGCATACAAGAAACACAATTCAAAAAGAAATTCACAGACTGAAAGGTCAAGGGTGGAAAACAATACTCCATGCGACAGGAACCCGGAAAAAAGCAGACCTCTTGGATTTCAAACCCACACTGATTAAGAGAGACAAAGAAGGACACTACATCCTTGTAAAGGGAACAATCCAAGAGGAAGAGATGGCAATCATAAACGTATATGCACCAAACACTAGTGCGCCCAACTATATAAAACAAACACTAATGGACATGAAAAATCAAATAAGCACTAATACAGTAGTAGTGGGGGACCTCAGTACCCTACTCTCACAAATAGACAGATCAACTAGACAAAAAGTAAACAATGAAATATGAGAACTCAATCAAACTCTTGAACAGATGCACAGATGTTTACAGAGTGTTCCACCCCAAAATATCGGAATACACATTCTTTTTAGCTGCACACGGGTCATTCTCCAAAACAGGCCACATATGCACTCATAGAATATGTTTAAGTAAGTACAAAGGAACTGAAGTTATCCCCTGTATATTATCAGACCACAGTGCGATGAAATTGGAGATCAATAGCAAAAGGAACCACAAGAATTTCATAAACACATGGAAACTGAACAACACACTTCTGAATAACCAATGGGTCACACAGGAAATTAAAGAAGAAATCAGACAGTTCCTACAGTTATATGACAATGACAGTACAACATGTCGGAATCTATGGAACACAATGAAAGTAGTGTTATGGGGGAAATTCATAGCAGTGAATACTCATATTACGAAAATAGAGAGAGCTCAATTAGACAACCTGATGCTGAACCTCAAGCTTCTAGAAAAAGAAGAGCAGGACAAACCCAAAGCTCATACAAGGAAGGAAATTATAAAGATCAGAGCACAGATCAATGCAATAGAGACTAAGAGAATGATACAAGAAAACCAATGAAGTTTGTTCTTCAAAAGAATAAACAAAATTGACAAACCCTTAGCCAATCTTATTGAAAAAAGGAAAGAAAAATTAGAGACATTTATAGCTAAATGGATGCACACTGAGGTGATAGTGAAAGTGAAATAAATACGACACACATGTGTCAATACCCAATAAATACCAGTGAGAAACTGAAAGTCTAAATAAGGACTAA